ATTGTTTTGTCCACCATAAGGCATTATACTCTTGCCTTTATCATTCCTTGCAACATTGGTTGCACCCCCATTAGTTTTATTGGTTGTAGTAGTTTCTCGATAATTTTGTGGGGATGTTTGTAACCCTATCTTGTTCTAGAATCGTTTTACCAATTGGTGTCATATAAGGGCTTTCTAGCACCATAGCGTAAAACTCGTTTTTCTGCTGATAGAGCATATTGACGAGCATCTTCAACGTTGTATAAATGAACTACTCCCATCTCCTCTCTAATAGAATGATTTAAACTAGCAAGATAACTAGAAGCAATTTGTTCATTACTCTTAGCTAAACCAACCCGAATTGATAGGTTATTGAACTCCGATGTATACTCTTCAACAGTCATGTTATTTTGCTTCAAACAATGAAACCTTTCATATAATTTCATAGTATAATCAGCAGGTAAAAATGACTTTCGTAATTTACTTTTCATGTGCTCCCAAGTGTTGATTTTAAAGCGTTCCCTTATCGTGCACGTTGCTCTTCAACTCTCTTCCACCATTGAAGTGCAACACCCTTCAATTTCAGCTTTACAAAAAACACTTTTCGATTTTCTGCCATGGGTTTTCATTCAAAATAATTTTCCAAACTAGCTTCCCAATCCAAATATTCCTTCACATAAAATTTCCCATGAAAATTAGTTACTTCAATCTTGATTCCTCCACCATTTAAATCAAGAGCATGTAATAACAAGCCCTTCAATCCAACTCTTACCGCTTGATTTGTGGGTCCATCTTCATGATAGGGGTTCTCGTTCTTAAATTCATCATCATCCTCAAGATCTTGAATCTCAAAGGGGTTGTGGTCACCTTCCGGATTCTCCATTCGAGCTTCCACTAGTTCCTGATACTGCAAGGCTTGCACAACCCGGGTCAAGTCATCAACCATTCTCCGCATCTCTGCCAACTAAGCTTGTTAGGACTGATTGCCTCTACCTCGACCTCTGCCTCGGCCAACCATAGTCTCCTAGCTAAA